GGCCCCTGGGCCAAGTGGGGGCAGGGCGGCTGGGGGCTTGGGCAGAAGGGGCAGGGCAGCCAGACCTCAATACCACCTGGAGCATGGCGTGCCCCCCCCCAGTCCTCAGAGCTGCCTAGAACAGGCAGTGCAGTGCTCAAGGCAGCAATTTAAAGGGCCTGGAGCTCCAGCAGCTGCTGTTGTCACAGTAGCAGCAGTGGCAGCCAGAATCTCCGGTCCCTTTGAATCACCAGGCCCCAGGGTAACCACCCCCTTTGCCCTACCCCCGCCCTGTCAGCAAGCCTGTAAATTGTACAGTACGTGGCATCACAATAGGCAAGATCTCTGAGCTGAATCATAAGTTTGCAGCAAATGAAACACCTCTGCATTGAATATAGCGCTGGTGGAGGCGCACGGTTAACAGCCATGAAGACTGAAGGCTTCCGTACCGTCTACACACCTTCTGGCTGCATAAGGGACCTGAAATGTCCAGTGCCCGTTCAGGGGGAGACAGTAGGGTCTGTGCGGTTCGGTTCATCCTTGACATCTCTTTGGAGATTGTCAACAAGAGGGCCAGTTGTGTCGCTAGACTGGACTTTCTGTTGGCTGCTCGTGCAAAGACAGTTACAGAATGACCCAGGTGTTGTGGGGTCGCACGTTACACCCAGCTGGCATAAACAATTACGAACAAGTGCAGGACAACAGAGATTCAGACCCAATGTCTTACGGGTCTGAACTCCTATCCGAGCAGGACTGGACTGACCCTGCCAATGCGATTTGCACAGGTTAGTGGACAGCCACCTGCCAACAATGATATTTGATGACTATCAATTCGGGCTGGATTCCAACTGGTGACCTGCGAGGCAAAAGCTCAATATCCTGTTACCAAACTGCTGGATCAGCTGAGTCCTGTGCCCGTATTTGTTAATGACGATGTGTTCCTGGGTGCCCCAGGGTTACTTGCAAAGGAGGCCTGCAGGTCTCAGTTTGCCAATAGAAAAGAGAATGAGAACACTGCACACCCTGCATTGCACGGCGATGTCTGGGACAGATCAGACAACCCTGCCTGACTGCAGTAGCGTCCTGCTGGGCAGGGCTGGCACTGCTCCTCTGCCCCCAGGCCCAGGGAGGGGGAATAGGTTCCAGGAGGGCAGGGCAGAGGATGGCTTGTGCCAGTGGGGCAGAAATGCCCAGGAGGGCAGATGTCATTTCCACGCGGAGGTGGGCCAGCAGATTCCATCTGTGAAACAAAAAAAAACAAAAAAAAAGAGGGAAAATCAGCAGGTTTAAAACTAATCAGCAGGTTTAAAACTAATAACAGAAAGTTCTTTTTCACACAGCGTGTAGTCAACCTGTGGAACTCCTTGCCAGAGGAGGCTGTGAAGGCTAGGACTATAATAGAGTTTAAAGAGAAGCTAGATAATTTCATGGAGGTTAGGTCCATAAAAGGCTAATAGCCAGGGGATAAAATGGTGTCCTTGGCCTCTGTCTGTCAGAGGCTGGAGAGGGATGGCAGGAGACAAATGGCTTGATCATTGTCTTCGGTCCACCCTCTCTGGGGCACCTGGTGCTGGCCACTGTCGGTAGACAGGCTACTGGGCTAGATGGACCTTTGGTCTGACCCAGTACGGACGTTCTTATGTACCCTGGACACATGGGGCTGTCATTTAGTGCTGCAGAAAGATGGAAAGCACGGATGTGAGCTAAGCACTGTAGGTCTGCTCCCATGGGAGCACTCGCTGCAGTACAACTTGTCTGGCTTAAAAGGGCCCTCTGGCATGCTGGTCGGTCCAGCGCTGGCCATGAATCAGCCAGTGGGATCTCTAGGCTGCACAGCACCCGTGTGAGAGGTGCAGGAATGAAGACATGGAAGGGATGGATTCCAAGGCATCCTCACATCTCAGCAGGCAGGCACCGCCTAGTCCTTTCAGCACTCTTCAGGAGTGGAGCAGCCTCCAAGCGCCAAGGAGCTCACCCACAACATCTGAGACATCCCAGCGCTCTGCTGGAATGGCCCCTAGCACTGCAGCTTCCACGGGCATTACTGAAGTGTCGGGAAGTTATTACCCGGGAATATTACAGTGTTACCAAATCCTTAGTCCCTGGTCCAAACCCAGGATGGCTGCATTGGGATGCCATGGTGGGCAGCTAAGCCTTCACCGGGCATTCACACACCTTGTGTCTGATGGGGGCTGGGTGGATGGCTCCTTGGGTGCAATAAAAGCCCGAGTGGCAAAGCCCCGAGGGCTGGGACAGTCCTAGAGATGAACAATACATGCCTGAAATAAGCAGAAAAGAAACCCAAAGTGAGGGAGTCTCCAGTGTGTCATCTCTGCTGAGAAAGCCTCAGAGGGGTCGTCATGTTGGTCTAACTAAAAAAAACGATAGTCCTGTAGCACCTTAGAGACAACACACATATTTAAATAGTATCATGAGCTTTTGTGGGCACAACCCACTTCTTCAGATGACAAAACATGGAGCATGGGGTACAGATTTTCTGCTTTATATTTCAAAAAGAGGGGAGAAGGGGAGGAGAAAGGAAGAAAAACCCATCAACTGCTGAGAAAGTGACCGAAGGCAGAATTTGACCTTTCATCTTTCCTTCAAGTGCTAGACTTTTCTTTACCTGCTGGGCAGGGTTCACAGTCCGATTCCGCAGTGGCACCAGTCGTGGGTCCAGATGTACCCCTGGGACATGGATGTTCTGTACCAAAGCTGGTACCGGGTGGACAGAAGTGCCCTTTAGGGCACAGCCTTGGTGTCTGTGTCCCAGAACCTAGGACACAAACAGTGGCAATTTGCTCGGGGGATTTCATGACCGTTTCCCTTGTGACAAGGGAGTTATTAATTGCGTAGCTGAAGTCGAAGTAGCTTTACTCGGCTTTTGGTGCTGTCCACACTGCAGGAAGTGGAAGGAAGAATGCTCTTCCTTGGACTTCCCTTACTCCTCGTAAAAGCAGGGGTACCAGCATCCACCGGAGTGCCCCTCCCACGTCGAATTAACTCTCTTAACTCGACCGCTAGTTCGAACCCTGCAAGTTCGACAGCGGCAGCTTCAATCTTCCTCTCTAGTGCAGACGTCTAGAGCAGCGCAGGGGTGAGAGGATTATTCTAGGAGGGGTGGGGGAGATTCTGTGGCCTGCACTGTGCAGGGGGTCAGACTAGATGATCATAATGGTCCCTTCTGACCTTAAAGTCTATGAGTCTATGAGACCTGCCCAGGGCTTTGATCCGGCCCGTGAGGCAGTTCCAGGTCCAGCCCCCAGCACGTTGCCTGGGATTCAGAGATGCGTGAGCCTTTTTAACTGCTTCTATTGAAAGGGCTGGAGCCTTCCCCGCGCCTGTCGGGTAACATGTTGCCTGGCAGCCGGGGGGAACACAAGAGCCCTTTAAATAGAAACAGCTTGAAGGGCTCCCAGCACCTCTCGTGCATTGCTAGGGAGCTGGACATGCACGAGCCCTTTCGACTGCTTCAATTTAAAGGGCTCACGTCTGCTGGGTGGCTGCATTTCCTGACGGTCACCCGGCAGGCGCAAGCCCTTTGGACAGAAGCAATTGAAAGGGCTCGCAGCTCTCGGGCCCACTGGCCAGGGAGCTGACCGGGATGCACGAGCCCTTTCAACTGTTTCTATTCGAAGGGCTTGTGCCTGCCGTGCGGCTGCCAGATGACAGGTTAAGTGGGGCCAGGAGCTGCGAGTCGTGTTATGTGAATTCTAAACCCCCACCCCAGACAGCTCCGGAAGGAGACTAGCCCCCAGCACCTCCCCTCTGCCCCAGGGCTCTTCCATTGGCCAGAAGTCGGGGGAGGGACCCCAGGCCAAGCAAAGCTCCCAGTAGGGTCGTTCTTGACCCCACCCCTGCCACCTGAGACCCAGCCCCTTCCCAGTGGCCTGCAGCCACTTCTGAAATTTGAGGTCCCCCCCGTTCAAAAATGATTGCCCACCCCTGGCGTAGGGACAGCCACCTTCCTCCCAAGACGAGGCAAAAGTAGGGCAATGTGTGAAATGCTCATGGTAGGTAGCTCTTGCTAAGTGCTTTTGGTTCTCCGGATGGGAGGTGCTACCGGAATAGCCATCACCATTATTGGTTGCTATGTTAGTCTGGCTGCAAAGCTTCATTGCTTGGATGGTAGAAATGCCTAGTGTTGTCCGCCCCTCCTGGCCTGCTGCTTGGCTTTCTGGCAGGTCTATTTCTTCTCCGCCTAGGGCAGAACTACATTCCACCCTTCCCCTCTATACCAATGCATGCGATGCCGACCGGGAAAGCACGTACTGAAATGAGTAAGCACAGGCCGAAGTCAACGAAACACTCGCGTTTCTCGGAGGAGAATACATCCCACTGTGCTTAACTAGAAGAGAGTTTCCAGCCTTTCCCCAGCAACAGATACCACAGCCCTCCCCAGCATCCCTCACTTTTGCTGGATGGTTCACAGAAGAATCCTGCTGGGCAGGTGTCACATGATTCTTTCCCTTCCTGTGTCTGGTGAGTCCCTCTCTCACAGGCCACGGGAACGGCAGATCCTGCAGGGCAGTAGAAGCCACGGGGGCAACGATAGGAGGGAGGAGTAGCTGAGGTCTGGCCTGGTGGGCAGTAGTAACCAGCAGAGCACAGTCCCTCTACAGCAGTTTTTCCTTGCCCTGCAGTTATGGAGGGAAAAGATCCTTTTGGTTCCCATCCTATCCCTCAGGTACATGGCCTCATCACACACGCAGTCAAATCTGGAAGTAAATGCCCTTCGCAGCCTCAGAAAGTCAGATGTTTATTACTGCATTGCCCAGGCAAGCCAGTCACTGCACCAAACGAATCAGAGACCTGCTCTAAAGTATCTATCCTGGGGCTGCCTGGCGTTCTGGGTTCAACTCTGAGTTGGGACCCAAGAGGTCTGAGCTTCATTTCCTGCTCACTGACAGATTCCTTGTGGGAACTTGGGCACCACACTTCGCCTCTGGTTCCCGGTCTGTAAAATGGGGACAGCAATCTTTTGCCTTCCAGGAGGGAGAGTGAGCTAGTGGTTGGGAGGTGCTCAAATATTACAGTGATAGAGACAAATAAACGCCTGGATACACAGACAGGAGGCACAAGTCCTTGGAACAGTAGCAGCCATCTCAGAGCAATAATATGATCCTTCACTTATGGGCTCTCCTGGATACTAAGCACTGTCAAACACCTGCTAGCTAGGCTATGTCATGTCCCCGGAGTATGGGGGAGACATCTCTAGCATTGAGAGCGTGCAGTGCCTTTGTCTTCCTGTTAGGGCTTTATTATGCTGTTAAGAAGGTCCTACATTGCTTCATTTTACTGAGCCACACCAGACATTTTCTTTGTGACTCTGAGCACATGGGCAATGTGGTAAGAAGAGGCAGAGGAAAAGAGAAATGGGATGAAGGCAAGTGAAAGAAACCCCTGTCCTGCCAAGAAGCCCTTCGGAATGGTGAAATGTCTAAGCCTGGAAGAGGCACCCACGGGAAGTGTTGGAAGACACGTCACTTGAGACATATCAAACTAGCCTGGGCAAACCCTGCAGGGAACGATCCCACAACACTGGCCAAAGGAAACGGGCTATTGATTGAATGTGATTCTCTGCAGTGATAGCAGGATAGATCCTGGAATGTTGGTTAAGACAAATGTGCAGGAAATAAAGCTGGGAAGACCATCTGCTCCCACTTGACTGCTTCTCCACCACCTCCTCCCCATGCATCAAACAACACTGATGAAAACGAATACCACTGCAGAAATATCCAGCTGGGCAGAGCTGACAGTCTGTTGAGTGCCATTTCCCACCATGGGGGTTGAGACTTCCAGCGCCACATGGAATTGGGGACTCAGTGCCTTTGGGGCAATAGAATCCAGGTGGACAGTGTTTCTGGTCTGGCCGGGTGGATTTCATATCACAGTAATACCCAGCATGACAGGTTCCTGCAAAGCAGAGAATTTCAAGAGCAAGACTAAGCAACTGATGAATCTCAGAAAGGCCAGTGCACTGGTGGCTTTTCTGGTCTTGTCTTAGAAGGTTTTGCTCTAGAAATCTAGCTGTTAAATTCATAAGGGTTTGAGAGATTTCGGTCTCACCCAGCTTTTAATCTGACTAGGGATTGTCCACATTTAGTTCCCATTTGATTAAAGCTGGAACAGGACTCAGAACTTGACCCTTTCCAGCATCTTGTTGTCTGACAAATCATAATGGGCCAGTCCCAGACCTAGGTTAGCTACTGATTGGTGATGCTCTGGCATACAACCACTGTATGAACCCCATGTTTGCACATCTATGATGTATACTACTCACCTGAAACACTGGCCAACCCTTCGCCGTGGCAGAACTTCCCCCTGGGGCAGGGCAGACAAGCATTGTGAGATGCCATTCCAGGCTGGGGTAGAAAGGTGCCAGTAGGGCATGGCACTGGAGTGCTGCTCCCCTGGGGACAGAAGTGTCCTGCTGGGCACATGTCTCCAGTTTCATTGTTAACAGGATTAGGTACACGTGCCTTCAAAACACAGTAAAACCCAGGCAAACAAGGGCCACTTGGGGTCAGGAGGCCTGGTGAAGAGGATAAAAATAAACAAAACAGAAGCGTTATGTAGTTCACAGGCTCAGGGGTACCCTAAACTGGCCAAGCCATTGCATCTAGATTAATTTAGTGTCTAATGCCCCATGAAACAAAAAACAGGACAATGTAGCACTTTAAAGACTAACAAGATGGTTTATTAGGTGATGAGCTTTTGTGGGCCAGACCCACTTCCTCAGAGTGCCTTGCATGTAGAATAGTGATAGAAATGCCCCATGCAGCGCTCTCCAGCTCCCACAGGCTGTTTACACTACAGAGTTTTTTTCAGAAAAACAGCTGTTTTTCCGAAAAAAACTTCACTTACATACCAAAGGATTGGTAACAGGGTGTTTATAAGGTAGGACCTGAGTGATATGTTGACCTGGCAATCACATTATTTCGAAAGAAAATGGAAAGAACAGAGGTGGGTTTCTGACACTGGTAAACCTCTTTCTACAAGGAAGAAGCCTTTTTCCAAAGAGCTCTTTCGGAATAAAACTTGTGTAGACAGGGAAGAGGGAGTTCTTTTGAAAGAAGAAGAAAAAGGAAAAAGCACAGGTGCCCTAGTGGCCACTCAGTCCATAGTAATCACAGCTTACATGTGAGATAGCGTCCGTTCAGTGTGGATGCTATCTTTTGAAAAAGAAGATTGCTTTTCAATGTGCTTTGGCAGTGTGGATGCTCTCTTTCAGAAGTTTTTTTGGAAGATTTCTTCTGGAAAAACTTCTTCCAAAAGAACCCTACAGTCTAGATATAGCCACACTCAGATTTATCCACAGAGACATTTCTGTTTAATGAAGACCCTGGCATCCACCCACCCAAGGGGTACGTCTAGACTACATGCCTCTGGCGACAGAGGGATGTAGATTAGGCTACCTGACATGGAAAAATGAAGCGGCGATTTAAATAATCACTGCTTTATTTAAATTTAAATGGTTGCTGTGCTGAGCCGATCAGCTGTTTGTCGGCTCAGCGCACTAGTCTGGATGCTCCGCGGTCTACATCAAAGGCATTTGTCGACCGCTTTGGTATACCTCATCCCACAAGGCATAACAGGGTGGTCAACAAATGCCCTTGATGTCAACCGTGGAGCGTCCAGACTAGTGCACTGAGCTGACAAACAGCTGATTGGCTCAGCGTGGCAGCCATTTAAATTTAAATTAAGCGGCGATTATTTAAATCGCCGCTTCATTTTCCTATGCTGGGTAGCCTAATCTACATGCCTCTGTCGCCAGAGGCATGTAGTCTAGACATACCCAAGGAGAGGGAATACAGGATAAACTAATCGCAGATTAGGTCTTCACCAATCAGGACTGGCCAAACCAAAACCATCATTGTCTTTGTCCTTGCCCCTTTCTGTTTAGCTTGCGGAGACGAAGGCTTTATAATGACATTGGGATCTTCTATATCTAGAGCATGTTTCATCTTAAAGAATCCCTAGAAGACTGTGCAGGGATGGCTTCACCCACTGCTGAAATGTGGCCACTTCTGGGGTGAAGCAAAACAGCGGTTTACCAGGACACAATGTCACCACACAACAGTGCACGGCAGGGACTGGAAAGGATAAAATATATTCAGTGTGTAAATAGGTATCCCAGATCAAACAAGTTAATCAGGGAGGTAGTTTTCCAAGGCCAGTTTTTCTTATGCGTGATGAGAAAACTTGTGGCTCTGTCTAGACCGCATTGTTTTTTCGGGATGCCGGAAGTATCCCGAAAAAGCAACTCCACGTCCAAGGAACGTGTCCGCTTTTTCAATTTTTTTTCCAAAAGAAGGGACATGCTCTTTCATCATCCCTGTAAACTTTGTTCTACGAGGAATATGGGATGGCTCGAAAGAGCACTTTTCCCCAAAAATTTGGCGCCATGCAGACATGCAAAATTTTGAAAAAGCCTTTTTTGAAATTAAATCGAAAAAAAGATATGACATTTTTCCCTATTTTAGAGTGCAGTCTAGATGCACCATCCTTGCTCCAATTTCAGCGGGGTCCTCCAAGACAAAATGCAGGATCTTTCCAGCCTGGACAGGGAAGCTAATCTCTGCCTGACTGCTCCTTACCTGCATCTGCACAGAATTTTCCCCCAGGGCAAGCCCTGCAGTCCTTGGCGCTGCTCAGCCCAGTCTGGTTACTAAAAGTGCCCTCAGGGCATGGGTCCTGCTTGGCAGCTTTGGTTCCTGAGAGGCAGTAGTACCCAGCCGGGCAATCAGCTGGCTTGATCACTCCACGTGGAAAGGTCTCCTTGTGATCTTGGATTTGGACTTCTGGGCCACAGAACCTAACAATAAAAGGCTAAGTTGGCATTAACCTGTCACAGCCCACACTTTCACCAGGACAAAGAAGAGCCATTCTCCATGCAACAGCCATAGCCTGTGACTGTAAGACAAGGCAATGGGGAATGCCCCTCGGAAAATGAATGAAGGACTTAGGACAGTGAAGCCTGTTTGGGAGAAGCTGTTATTTTGGGGACCGTTTTGCTACTCCCTGGAGACATGCCTACAGGGCGATAACTCTGTGATGAAGGGCACATGATACAGAAATTGGTATATGAGAGAGGGAGATACAAGGACAGGATGAAGGAGACCAGTCATGTATATCAAAGGGTATAACAGAGCAGCTCAAGGCAATTCAGATGTTAATTTCCAGCCCAAGAGCCAGGATACTGGAAGAGACTCACTGCAAGATTCCACTTACTTTCCTGCTGGGCACATTTTACACAGGCTTTGACCAGTCTGGTCCTGGTATTTCCCAGAGGGACAGGGTTTGGGCTCTGGGCTGCCTCTGGGGCAATAGTGGCCAACAGGACATATATAATCTAGGAATAAAAGAAGAGATCTGGTTAATGCTGAGGCTCTGCATAACTCCCGAGTGGTATCGTGTAGTTCTGTAATGGCCAGCAGTAGTAAATTTAATAAGGAGAACGTTTTATGAAGAACTAAAGAGAAACCGGGGAAAGTTAACAGCTTCATCAAACACACCCAGCCAGACTGGAGGCTACAATATCTCACTAAGGCCCAGGTCCAATGGACAGTGAAATCGTTCCACTGACTTTGCTGGGGTCTGGGTGTCCCAAATGCTCCTGAAGCCCACTCCTGACCCACAATGGGCTTCGTGAACAAGGACAAGGCAGGGATTTCCTGTTTCTTTTGTTCCAGAGCATGAACACAAAGGGATAATCTTTGCTTCCTGGTTGGGTGGGGTGAGCTCTTTGAGATAGGAGCTGTCTCTTTGCTCTGTGTTTGTCCAGAACCTAGCACACTGGGCTGCTGCTCCATGACCGGGGCTCCAACATGAGATCACAATAGAAATAATAATTAACAATGTGGGTACCACACCAACCTAATCCCAGCTCAGCAACTCAGAGTCTGGTGGCTCTCGGGCTGCATCAGAGCTGCTCAGAGCTCCCCCATTGGGCTAAGCTGGGTACAGCCCTGGCAGTGACATTCCTCACTGATACGGGCGACTTTGAAACATTTCCATTATTGCTAATGTCACTCGTTTCCCTGTGAGACAGGGGTCCAAGAACTCTCCTACCTGGGTTGGAGCCTGATACAGACCCTTCTGGGCAAAACCAGCCTTCCTTACACTGCCCCTCTGGTGCACTTTGACCCCGGTGGGAGCAGAACCATCCTGCTAAACAGGGCTGGCAATCTTGTGATGATTGGCCACCGCGATGGGCCAAAAAAGAACCTTGAAAAGAAGCACACGTAGATGGAGAGCTGAGTGCTGGGGAAGAATACATGTTTGTTCTAGGCTGCAGAGGCAGCATCGCTGTTATTGAGCCAACATTTCGGGATGGATGCTCTTCATTTAACAGCCCCAGGGTATGTCTACACTACAAAGTTAATTCGAACTAATAGACGTTAGTCTGAATTAACTTTAATAGGCGCTACGCTGGCGCTCCGCTAGTTGGAACTTAATTCAAACTAGCGGAGCGCTTAATTCGACCTAGGTAAACCTCATTCCACGAGGACTAACGCCTAGTTTGAATTAACTAGTTCGAATTAAGAGCTGTGTAGCCACTTAATTCGAACTAGTGGGAGGCTAGCCCTCCCCAGCTTTCCCTGGTGGCCACTCTGGGCACCACCAGGGAAGCTCTTCTGCCCCCCTCCCGGCCCCGGAGCCCTTAAAGGGGCACGGGCTGGCTACGGTGCCCATGCCAGGTGCAAGCCTGCCAGCACCCAGCCAGCAGACCCTGCACCTGGCAGGGCTTGGGCCAGCCACCCGCTGCCACCCAGCCCTGCGCCTCGTCCCAGGACCAGGCTGGTGGCTCCCGGGAGCCTGTCCAGGTCCGCAAGAGGCGGGCGCCCGCCTGGTCTAGTGCGGACATTGTGGACCTCATCCACAGCCTCCGCACTAGGCACAGGAAAGTGGCCGGCTAGGGCAGGAGAGCTGCCAGCCTGGCCACCCAGGAGCAGGTTTGCATGAAAATCAAGGTGGTCCAGTGGGACCCCCGACCCTGAGCCCTGAGCTTAGAATGTCCATCCTGGGTCAGACCAAAGGTCCATCTAGCCCAGTAGCCTGTCTGCCGACAGCGGCCAACGCTAGGGACCCAGAAGGGGATGGGCCGAAACAATGACCAAGCCATTTGTCTCGTGCCATCCCTCTCCAGCCTTCCACAAACAGAGGCCAGGGACACCATTTCTACCCCCTGGCTAATACCATTCCAGGGACCCAACCTCCATGACTTTATCTCACTTCTCTGTAAACTCTGTTATAGTTCTAGCCTTTACAGCCTCCTGCAGCAAGGAGTTCCACAGGTTGACTATTTGCTTTGTGAAGAAGAACTTTCTGTTATTAGTTTGAAGCCTGCTACCCATTCATTTCATTTGGTGTCCTCTAGTCCTTCTATTATGGGAACGCATGAAGAACTTTTCTTTATGCATCCTCTCCACACCACTCGTGCTTTTCTAGACCTCTATCATATTCTCCTTCAGTCTCCTCTTTTCTAAGCTGAGACGTCCCAGTCTCTTTAGCCTCTCTTCATATGGGACCTGTTCCAAACCTCTGATCATTTTAGTTGCCCTCCCCTCTCCCACCCTCTGTCTTCCCCTCTCCCACCTCCTTTTCCCAGTCTCCCCCATTTTTGTTCAATAAAGAGAGTTTCTATTTTTGAACACATGTGTCCTTTATTTTGTACATCAGGAAGGGGGGCTAGGGAAGGGGAAGTGGAAGCAGATGAGGGAGGAATGGGGTACGAACCCCCAATGGGGAGGACTGGGGTGGCTCTGCGGGCTCCTCGGGGTGGAAGTTCTCCTGAAGCCCCTTGATTAACCGCCCCTCCACATGGCAGCCTGCGGCAAGTGCAGCCGGGCTGGTGGCCGAGGGCTGTGATGTGCCCAGTGTGGGCACTGAGGGCACTCCAAGCCAGGACTGCTTTGCAAGTGGGGAACCCCTGAGAACTGTGTGTCCGGGGTGGGGGTTAGGTCCCTTTAAGCACAGCCCTCGGCTAGCCTGAGACAGCAGCTCCACGCTCTAAGTCCTAATCTGATGCCCTGCCGGCACTGCTTCCGGCCATCCTTAACCTCGGTTCAGGGTCCACTCAGTGTGGACATCCTATTCTGAATTAACAAAACGCTAATTCGAACTAGTTTTTAAGTCTAGATGTGCTAATTCGAATTAGCTTAGTTCGAATTAACTAATTCGAACTAAGTTAGTTCGAATTAGTGCTGTAGTGTAGACAGACCCCCAGAGTGAAAGCTAAGATCCCATCCCTTAAGCACTGTGGCTGCTAGCTTCATACCACACAGCAAGGGACTTTAGAGCAGGAACTCGTGTCCCACAAGATATCAGACACAGGAAAGAAAGGCACCCGGCTGCTGTCTGATTTACCTGGGGGACAAGGAGAAGGAGAGGAACTTCCTTGGGGACACACGTAGCCTTGAGGACAAATATTTCCCATTGCTCCATCTGTTGGGTTGGGAACCGTGGACCTCCCAGTGCAGTAAAAACCAGCATCACATGGACCTGATGGAGCTGCCAGCTCTGCGGATGCACAATACGAGCCTAGAAAAGGGAACAGAAGGGAGACCTTCATTCAGCGTCCAAGTCCCCGAGCTTGCGCCACCAGATCCTCAAAGCAATTGGACTGCAACACTGTCATGGCCCAGAGGCCAGGGAAGCAACGGTCACTAGGAGATCACAGCAGTGTCGCAGAGAAAGCCTGGGAGAGTCCGGGGAGTATGGCAGTATGTATGGGGGGGAAGGGTTTGTATTAAAAATGTTGATTCTCAGGCAAAAAATAACATTTTCTCCTACCTGAAGTACAGGGAATAGGAAGGGACGAGCCACTGGGACAAAACGTTCCTGCTTGGCACAATCTGAAGGAGCCGGGAGGTGAAGCTTCTGACCCTGCTAATGGAAAGGATGGGACCTGAGAGAGGCAAAGGAACACAGAGCAGCAGAACTTCTATTTCTCTGTGGGTACTTACAGCATGTGACCCTCACCACTACCGTAGGTGAGCACCATCCACATGCGTTAGATGGCTGGAGAGCCTCCTTGAGCACATCCTCCCACAATGGAAATACCCACCCAGCCTCTCCCTGGGGAAGTGATGTTCTCCTGCCAAGATCGCAGACCCATCACAAACACACATCCTCTCCACAAGCAAGGGTTCTTGTTTACTTAATGTTACTGCATGCAGCAGCATCTTTTCCCCCCTTCACTGGATCTATGGGACCTTTCCTTCAACTCTTGATGGTTGTATAGAACCACCACATCTAACACTAGTCCCAATAACATTCCACTTCTCCATTTGATGCCAGAGAGTGATTACCTGGGGATGTTGGCTCATGTGATGCTGATCCAGGTGGGCAAAACCATCCAGGCATGCAGGGTCCATCAGGACTTGTCAGGCCTGGCTTGGAGCAGAGCTTTCCAGGAGGACACACCTGGCACTTGGAGGCATCCTTCATGTTTAAATCCTTGCTGTAAGTTCCCTGTGGACAGGGGTACTGTGTGGCAAACCCTGTATTCCTTGGGCAGTAATGTCCTAGGAGAGAGATGATGGTTTTCCTCATCGCGAAGACAGGCTTGAAATGTCTCACGCTACTAGCAAGGGCGCTGGGGTGCCCTCTCCATCAGTTCTCCCAAAGGAACAGATCCCGGGATGTGTCACCCTGTGCACAGACTGATTCACCAGTACTGTTCAGGGTCTCCCACCCAGAGGGAAGCATTCCTTGAAGCCACTAGCTCTTTTCCTTTGTGAGGAGCCTTACAAGGAGCTGCCAGTGCACCGATGGCACACTTTCCCACGCTCCCTGTGAGGGACAGATAGCTGTGACCGCACTCACCTGCGGGACAGTCTGTGTAATTGGTGGCACCAGCCTTACAGTAAAAGCCCGCTGGGCAGGCCAAACACTGTGCCATGCCCCAGAGTGGGCTGTAGCTCCCTGTAGGGCACGGCTGGGCTCTGCTGCTCCCAGTTATGCAGTAGTGTCCGGGAGGACATGGCCCTCCGCTGCTTGTTGTCTGTGAAGACAAAGTGCGGTTTTTAGAAAGGATGTTCCCACTGGGGTCACTGGCCCAGATCCTCAAATGTCTTTAGTCTCCTAACTTCCACTGATTTAAATGGAAATTAAAAGACCGAATATCTGTGTGAATCTGGGCCTGTTTGCAACCTCAGAGGAAATGCATCTTGTAGCAGGAGCACACCAGATCCTAATGGGGCTGACAGCCGGAGTGATGGAGTGAAGAACAAAATGCTTTGTTCATTATTCACCTCTGTCCAAACCCTGCTGGTGTAATCCCATCATATCTCCAGAATGAGCTGGGGGGTGGTTAGGAGGCTGCCCAGGAATACTCAGGCTTGCTGTAGGAAGTGATGCTGATAATTTATCAAGTAGTCCGGCCTGTCCTTCAGAGTCAGTGTAGTGCTATGCTACTGGGGCAGGGGAAAGGTATCATGGCATGACACCAGTGTCCTGAGTCTCTGCATTCTTTAAAGTTCGCAAGGTATTTGGGGTAAGAGCCATGTTGAGAGTTTCAGCATTCTGGTCATATTCAAGTTCTGCAGACTTCTGTGATTGCAGGGAAATGGCACTGTTCTTCGCTTGCTCTCATGTTGTACAGCGTTACTGCGTGCTGGCAAGAGGGTCATGAATCCCACCCCAAAGGCTGATACATGACCTCCTGAGGTCTCTCTCAACCCTATGACTCTGTGATACATCAGCGCTGGGTGAGTAACTGCTGTGTATAGCTTGCAATAGTCTGGGATTCTTGGGGATGAAAGATACAATTTTTCTTTACCTATCTTTGTCCACTGGCCATAATAGGACAACTGGGAGTGAGGCAGCATGGATATGAAAAGGTTGTACTGTTATGGACATGCTTTATATCTAGAACAGAGAGGGGATGTTTGGTGTCTGTACACTCCTTCGGCTGTAATAAACTATGTGTGTCAAGAAAGGAAGTTATACCAACAGTTTCAGAAATCCAGAGAGAAGTTTGCCTGGGATAGAACCCTTCCCCTCAAACAATAGCTTTTGGGAATGGTACTGATGGGGGGGGGGGGGGGGAGCCATGGAGGGGTTGACACAACAAGTGTTCCAATGGCAAGAACAAATAAGGGGGAGAGAGTTTAATGTAGGAACTGCAAATATGTATGTTTGATGCCCCCTGAGGTGGTGGGACTTATATGACAGGGAGAGAAAAACTACACAGACATTTGGTTCTTTACATCCACAAACTCTGGTTTTGATCATGTTTATGCACCAGGCACAGCTCACCATGGATGGTCTAGGAGAAACAGCCCCTCTGGTGCAATAGAACCCAGCTTCACAGACACCAGCAGGAGATATGAGTCCAGTTACATTGCAGAAGTACCCTGAAAGTAAGAAAAGGGAGCATGGAGTCTGTCTGTCATTGAGCTGACAGAGAGCAGCAGGTGAAAACTGAAGAGTAAACCATAAAAAGTAAGAGGTCTGGCTACCCCCATACACATTATGGAGATGTTTCCATATGGAACAGCTTTAACATAAAATGTACCTAACGTGCCAAGAAAGACAGCACTCATTGCACCATCAATACACTCCAATCCATCCTGTAAAGGGAATGAGGAAATCGGTAGGAAGTTGCACAATGAAACAGCTGGACACACAGGGTATGTTTAAGCTAGCCCCCTACTTCGAACTAGGGAGGTTAATGTAGGCATTCGAACTTGCAAATGAAGCCCGGGATTTAAATATCCCGGGCTTCATTTGCATGTTCCTGGGCGGGCGCCATTTTTAAATCCCCTTAGTTTGAACTAACTGAGGTGTGACAGTTAATACGAACCAAGGATTTAGTTCGGATTAACTTCTGACTGCCGCGTGTAGCCATGGCAGTCAGTTCGAACTAAGGGGATTTAAAAATGGCTCCCGCCCGGGAACATACGAATTAAGCCCGGGATATTTAAATTCCGGGCGTTGCAAGTTCGAATGCCTACATTAGCCACCCTAGTTCGAACTAGGGGGCTAGTGTAGACATACCCACACTCTCCTGGGTGAGGAATAGCAAGAGACTTTATTTTCAACTTGGTCCATTTAACCTATGTATCCCTGAAATAGCAGTTATCCCCATTGCATGATTTAAAGATGCCGAGTTTCTCAGAAGACTTCACAACTTCTAGAAACAGCTTAGAATCACTTTGATCCTTCTCCCATTATTGTACCTGGGGCACACAGGAGGCAGTCTTCAATCTTAGTATTCCTGGTAGAGTTGCTATAATAACCAAGAGGGCATGGCTGTGGAAGAGCAGATCCCTTAGGGCAGTAATTTCCCACAGGACATAAGTTCCCCGTCAGGCCCTGGGTAGGTGTGGATGTGGGATTCCCTGCACTGCAGTAATACCCAGCTGAACAAGGTCCTGTGACATGCGACTGTCCTGCTAATACACAGTAATGACCTGAAAAAACAATGGAATCGGCATTAGCAAAAGGTAATAGGAGGGTATTTAAAAGAAAGGGTTGGATATTTACACAAACAAGAAATGCATAGGAGTTAAAGTGAGATAAAAACATTGCAAGGGATGTCAGCCTTCATAACTCAAGCCGTAACTTATGAGCTGTAAGTTATCAGCAGGGGAGGTCTGGCAATCAGCAGACTAACTAGACTATAAAGTCCCTTTGTCTTTTTCTAAAGTATCATGCACATATGCTGTTATGTAAATGGATTATAAAGGCAATGAAGAAGGTTTCCCTTTCATAATATAGCATTGTATACAAAGGTCTGTCCTATGGCAAAAAAGTAACGCCTTGCTCCAAAATATTTTGCATTGAGACAGGACCTCAGAGTAAATGGACCATTGGGTCTTTTCTAGGCTGGTAATTCTTAAGACTAGAGGGTCTCCATGCAGCTGAGTGTCGGCCTGTCTCAAACTTTAACCAGTGATCCAATGGCAAAGAGCTTCATAACCCATTATCACTCTCCAGAGCCCCACAAACCTCTGCCGAAGTGCAAGCCTCCCTAGCACATGTTGTTCCTATGCCATTCACGATGATGTTCACTAGGATCCTACCTGGATCACAAGGGATACAGTGAGACACATGGCTGCTGCCAGTCTGTGGGTTGTACGTCCCTCTGGGACATGGGTATTGAGTTGCTGAAGCTGTACCCGCGGGGCAGTAATGGCCAGCTGGACATTCACTCCCAGCAAGAGAAGAGGAATTCTTAGCACAAAAGAACCTGCAGCCATAAGGGGAAAGAGCAGAAGGAAGAAAGTTAAAACTCTCAGGCCAACACTCCATCGGCTCAGCAAAGTGAATGGCTTGTCTCTGTGTGCTTGTTGTACTGAATTGGATGGGCATTATATCAGGCCTGCTCATGCATATAAGGACCGTAAGGGCATAGGAGTCTTCACTCCAGTCATACCACTAGGACTGTGATTTCATCAGCTCCTAGATCGTGGTGGGCAATAAGAAAATGGCAGCCAGCCAGAGTTACTTAGTCCATGTCAGGATGCCGCTGCTTTATTCACCTGGGCTTCTGCAGGTATCGGATGACCGCAGCTCTTGTTGGCCAATGGGAGCTGCAGGAAGCTCTGCAGACCAGGACACAATTCCCCATTGCTCCCATTGGCCATGGAAGGAAATCCACAGCCAATGAGACCTGCGATGGCCCCATACCTGCAGAGGCACAGGTAAATATACAGGTGGGGGCCCACCAGGAACTAATCTGGTGGACTGGATCTGGACTGTAGGCCGGAATTTGCCCATCCCCTTGCTAGATGCTAAAAACTGGGTCAGTTGTTGGATGCGAATCCTTCAAGGACAAGTCACATGCAGCAAGAAGCTTACAGAGAGAGCAACAGACCAATATTCAGCGTGGTGCCAGCAGGCATTGTTTATTGGAAGAGACATGAAAGTGAAATCCTTTATCCCCTAGGGACACAGTGTGGAACCATTGGTGTTAATGGTGGTTTCCTGGCCAGCAGGCAGTTTCAGTTACCTTCTCAATTAGCTCACCTAATTTCCAGTGCTAATCATTTGTGTAGTGTCGCTTGGCTGCTTTATTGCAATGGTCCTCTATTTATACTGCACACAGTAATGAACACACTCTCATTCTTACCCTCTAGCACAGAGGAGGCAGCTGGCTTGCCCTTGTAGAGGGTTATATGACCCAGCTGGACAAGCCTGTGGAACGGCTGTACCCTTGGGGCAGAAATACCCTGATAAAAGAAAGAATAAGGCAGAGTCAGCAGATTCTTTCAAAATCAGGACTAGCGGGCAAATTCACCCTGTCCCAAAACAGGCAATGCATAAACCCCGAGGCTTTGAGAAGATGAAAGAGCTGTGATGTCTCAGGTTCTTGCAGCCTGCGATGGAGTT